ACCACCAATGTCTAGGATGGTAGTAGTAATGAAGCAGAAGATCTGAGGAGAGGGGAAAGAAAAGACACAAAAAAAAGGGGGGGGGGGCGTTACCGGCAATGTTTAGGGTGGTAGTACTAATGAAGCATAAGATCGGGGGAGAGGAGAGGAGAGAGAGAGAGAGAGGCTTACCAGCAAGCTCTCTGATGGTAGATGTAATGAAGCAGAGGAACTGCTCTATGATCTGGGCCTCCGCTGCTGGGAGGATGGCTGCGATGAGAGCAAGAGCCAAAAGTAGACGTGGAGTCACCATTTTGATTTGAAGTGTCTGGACGATGAGGAACCTGAAAATCAGAAATTTTTTTTTGAAAGACGGCACTTCGATTAGAACACCCTTTTCAATAACAGCAGTGTGAACACATCCACACGACCACACATCCAACCGACCACATGACCACACTACTGCAGATATACACATCCACACTACCACAAATCCACACATCCACACGACCACAGATCCACACATCCACACGTCCTTACTCCTACACTCCCACACATCCACACAGCCACACATCCACACGACCACAGATTCACACATCCACACGAACACACATCCACACATCCACACATCCACACTACCATACATCCACACATCCACACGAACACTCGACCACACGTCCACACATCCACACGACCACACATCCAACCGATCACATGGCCACACGTCCACACTTCCACACATCCACACATCCACACATCCACACGTCCACACATCCACACGTCCACACATCCACACGTCCACACTTCCACACATCCACACGTCCACACATCCACACGTCCACACATTCACACATCCACACGTCCACACATCCACTCATCCACACGACCACACATCCACACTTCCACTCATCCACACATCCACTCATCCACACGTCCACTCATCCACACGTCCATACATCCACACATTCACACGTCGCGGGCGGCCCAGTTTGTCACAATTTCATTTGAGTATTTACGCTTAGATGACTGTCATAATTACAGCACTTTAACACTATAGTTGTAACTTCAGTTTTTTATTCTCCACCTTCAAATTGGCGGTGTAGAGATAGTCCCTCTAAAATGTCAATTCAGCTTGAGTTGTTCAAGTTCAATATTTCTTCCTTTTTGTATACAAATCAAAGCAAATTTAAATTTCTCTGTAAAATTTCAACAATGAATGTTCTTTCGTTAAAACCATTTGAAAAATAAAATTCTATTCATACAATCAATCAATCAATCATTAATTTATTCTTTTTGAGAGAGTTAATAATAACTTCCATCACGCTGGGCACAGTCGAGGCTATGACATACTGGGCCTGTGAAAAACTGGCATGCTTCCCACACACCCACACGACCACACATCCACACATCCAGAAGACCACATATCCACACGTCCACACGACCACACATCCACACATCCACACAATCACATGAACACACGACCATACATCCACAATACCACCTCTCCACACATCCACACAACCATACATCCACGCATCCACACATCCACACGACTACACATCCACACGACTATACATCCACACATTCACACATTCAAACATACACACGACCACACATCCATACATCCACACATCCACACATCCACACGACCACACATCCACACAATCACACGAACACACGACCATATATCCACACTACCATACATCCACACATCCACACATCCACACTACCACACATCCACACTTCCACACGACCACATATCCACACATCCACACATCCACGCATCCACAATGATCATATCAGCCTTGTTATGTACATTGTATTTTCTATTGCAGATACTGAAGACAATACCCCGTCAATTTCTTCCTGGGAACGACTACGTTAAAATGTGATATTATGTAACCTGTTAAATGTTTACTGTCGATGTGAATTAAACGATTACGGGGAGACATCTGTGAGAGCCGGGGTTGTCCCCGTGGTTAAAATCTCGAATTTACACCCATCAAAGGCAAAGGGTTCCATTCTCGGCTAAACTGGGTAGGTCGCTACGATGCTTGGAAAGATGTTTTTCCCCTTGGTAACCTTACGCGTTCTTTAAATAGCTAGCTGGTACGAGTTTGGAAGGCCGGAAGTCTCAAAGTCAAAGGTATGCCCAAAAGTGATTGTAGAAGTGGCGCATGAAATGTTTTCTGAAATTAGACGGTCACGGAAGTGGCTATGAAGCCTTAATGGCTTCCCATCGTTGGGGATATTACGCTGAAGACTTTTAAATTATTTTTTTTAGCTTTTATCAGAAATCAGGAGGAGTTTTTTTTCTAAGCCTCTTTAATCTTAGTAAGTTGAGCCGAAGATATAACTTCTAAAGGTTCAGGCTGAAAAGAGATCCTAGTTTAGGAAGTTAGAGAAAGTTAAAAGATCTTAGGTCTTTTTTTTTAAAGCTCTATATTTCCATAGAAGCAGTCTGGTCGAAGTAATATGTGAGGCAGCGTGGTGGAATCAGGCTCTCGTCAATTTTTGGGCATATTGAGTTATTGGTATCATCTTAAAGCTTGTTCATTTGTTTTGCTTTCATTGAAAAAATTACCCATCCATCGTCAACAGAAGTGGAGATATTTTGGATTGAAGGAGGTAGGGGTCACCTGGTTTAAGAAGTAAAATTAGGGAGAAAATGGCCGCCAAAGCTTGGTAAATTCCAAAGCTGGAGTGTCCGTGGAAACTGTAAATTTATATTTTTGTGCCTTTAATCAACGTTTTTTGGTGAAATCCTCAAAGGAATGTGTTTATAAATGGACATAAAAGGTGTTGAGCCAAAAAACAAAAATTTGATAAAAATTACTAAGCAGGGAGAAAACGAGAGCCTGATTCCACCACGCTGCCTCACATATTTCCCAAGTACACGAATCGAGGGTTCACTTACCTCCCTGAAGTTACTGTGGAAATGGCTCAATGTCACCAAGTCCCCTTTTGTACGAGGATTTAACGAGGACTTTTGTCTCTCCTGGCGAGCAACATTAGCCACGAAGGCCTCGGGGTAGAGTTTGGGG